CCAGGGTAAAGAAGGAGAAGCCAAAAAGGAGGACCCATGAGAAGGGCCCCCTCCAGGAGTTTGAGGCCCACTCCCTCCTCCCCTGCCTGTCCTCTGTCCAGGTCGCCTCCCTGCTGTGCCCCACTCCTGGGGCCATAACCATTTGGAGCTGTGTTTTTCTACAGGCTCCTGGGCACAAAGTGGGCAGGCTCACCTGGAGGGGATCAGAGTAACATGGCAGGAAATGAGGGGGAAAGCTGCCCTAGAACCGCGCCTCTCTTCCCTCTCATGTCACTGGGGTGCACTCCTCCCTCACCTCACTCAGGCAGCGACATGGGTTCCATGTGAGTGCTGTCCTGCTTCCTCTGCTGCCTCTTTTTTTCCTTAGGGCTATCATAAAACTTTCTCTTTCCCAGCTCTGCCAATCTGGTGGGACATTGGGCTTCCCTCTCACAGGGTCCTGGGGACAGGCCCATCCTGTATCATACCTGCAGAGAGACCCTGTTTTTCTCCGGGGCCTGGGGAGCAGCCAGGTTCCATGAGTGAAACGCAGATCTGAACCGTACCAAGCTGGGGTTGGGGTCCACACTCCTCTACTGAGAAGGAGCTAGGGATTCCAGCTAGGTGAGAGGGAGAGTGGGCAGAGCCAGACCAGACCAGAACTGATCCCCTGGAAAAAGCCTGCCTTGGTGAGTGCTGGGTGCGGTGGCTCACTCCTGTAATCCCAGCAGTTTGGGAGGCTGAGACAGGTGGATCACTTGAGGTAAGGCGTTCAAGTCTAGCCTGGGCAACATGGCAAAACCCCATCTCTACTAAAAATACAAAAATTAGCTAGGCATACTATGTTCCTGTAATCCCAGCTACTCAAGAGGCTGAGGCAGGAGAATTGCTTAAACTGGGGAGGCAGAGTTCGAAGTGAGCCGAGATTGTGCCTCTGCACTCCAGTCTGGGAGACAGAGTGAAACTGTGTCTCAAACAAAAACAAAAACAAAAACAAAAAACACCATAATATGGCTTTGGCAGAGAGCCTGGCCCAGCAGTGCCTTCCCTTGGGTTTCTCCTGGGTAGGCCTCTGCCAGGAGGAGGCGCTTCGTTTTGCCTGTCCATGGCCCACAGCAATGGAATGTCTGCTTCTGAGGGTTGGGTGGGGGACTGCTGGCAGAACTGGAAGCTTCTTCAGGTGGGTTTTTTGTTTTGTTTTGTTTTTGTTTTCGAGATGGAGCCTTGGTCTGTCACCCAGGCGGGAGTGCAGTGGTGCAATCTCAGCTCATTGCAGCCTCCACCCCCCCACCCCGGGTGCAAACAATTCTCATGTCTCAGCCTCCTGAGTAGCTGAGATTACAGGTATGTGCCACCATTCCCGGCTATTTTTTGTATTTTTTGCAGAGACGGCATTTCACCACGTTGGCCAGGCTGGTCTCGAACTCCTGACCTCAAGTGATCTGCCGTCCTCAGCCTCCCAAAGTGTTGGGATTACAGACATGAGCCACCGAGCCCAGCCCCTTCAGATGGGTTTTGAGGCTTCACTACAATACTAGTTTCCCGTGACTGCTGCAGCAAATTACCACACAGTGACTTAAAACAACACGAATGTATTCCCTTACAGTTCTGAAGACCAGAATTCTAAAGTAAGTCCCACTGAAGCAAGGTGGGAGCAGGGTTGTTGCCTTCCGAGGCTCTGCGGGAGAATCTGTCTCCTGGCCCTGGAGGTGGCCTGCACTTCTCAGCTTGTGCTGCACGTCCTGAATGACTGGAGTTTCCTGCTTCCGTCACTACACCTCCCACCCTCTCCATCACCTTCTCTGCTCTTATAAGGATCCGGGTGAGTACATTAACCCCACCAGTACAAGCCAGCCAAAGACCCTTAACTTCATTATATCTGCAAAGCCTCTTTTGCCATACAAGGTCATGTTCACCAGTTCCCGGGATTAGGATATGGGCATCTTGGGGGCATCAGCCTGCTACAGCTAGGCTGCAAAACTGTTACACCTTCCTGGTGTTTCAAAGATTGAGAGAAAAAGGGTTGGCATTTTTTGCTTAGGGGTCCCTCTTAAACTTGTACCTTTAAGGTCTGGGGTCCCTTTTAACCTTGTTTTTGTTTTTGTTTTTTCTTTTTTGAGGTGGAGTGTTGCTCTGTCGTCCAGGCTGGCAGTGGCATGGTCTCGGCTCACTGCAACGTCTGCTTCCTGGGTTCAAGTGATTCTCCTGCCTCAGCCTCCTGAGTAGATGGGACTGTAGGCACCCACCACCATGCCTGGGTGTTTTGTATTTTTGGTAGAGATGGGTGGGGGTGGGGAGGGGGGTTTTGGCTATGTTACCCTGAGCTCAAAGCCATCCGCCTGCCTTTGCTGCCGAAGTGCTAGGATTACAGGCCTGCACCACCACACCCGGCTGCTGTAAAGACTTATTTCCACACAGCTGAGACATGTTTTAGGAAGTTTGCTAAAAGACCCCTGGAGACCTCCTCTTTGTGGCCTCCCTGTTACCGTGTTTAATTT